TTCGCCGCTTTAAAAAAAAAAAGCAGCATCTGTGCAGTTGTAAATTATAAAATTTCATAAGGACATGTGAAATTTAAAGCCACGCGCAAAAATTGATCCGTACAGAAGTTTTCAAAATATTGGTTCAAGTGTGAGGCGACGACTTTTGAAACACACTATAGATAACAATGACGGGGGATATGGCGAGACATATAGAGAGTGAAATTGTATGTGACGCTAAGTGTCTATTAATACTGACTGATCGAAGTTTCCTGGCCACTTGGACATCGACGGCGACTTTCTGTGAATGGGATGGGATCACACGGCCACAACCATCAGCCCACAACCCACCTCCCTGATACACTTAGGACCAGCGATTACAGGACAATCGACCATGACCCGTGGCAACAGAAATCCACCAATCCCTGACAGGGACAAATAAAAACGAGCGCCCAGCCACCCCGCCGCTGGTATCGATCATGAGATCAGGACAAAGACATTGCTGATTCACCACAAGTTTCACCCAAGGCTGATACACCCCTGGAGTATGTAGGAATCTATACGGAAACGACGACCAGGACAACAACGATAAGCCACACCACAAAGACACCCGTCCTACCCTCCCCTCCCCCCAACAATTCTTCCTTTATTATTATAATGTTTGTCGTCGTCTAATCATTTTCTCCCTTTATTTTTTTTAGCATGTTCCACTTGTTATTTTGTTTTCTTCTTCTTTATTTTTCTTTGTGGTGTAGTGTCTAGGCGCTCGCATGCGGATGGAGAGTCAGTGGGTTCGGGTCCGGGCGTAGCCTGCATTTGTTCAAAAATGATCTCGGCTCCAAGGTCGACCTAGCCTTGAGTGGGCACCAGGTACAGTTCTGGGAAGTAAAGACGACCGGTGTGATGCCGACTCCAATACACATCTGGTGTCGACTCGTCCATCAAATATTGGTCTAGCCCTATTTGCTCAGTATACGTGAAAAAAGGGTCCTTTACTTTCTTTTTCTTTTATCATTTCTTCATAATCGTTTTTGTTTTCTGTAATTTTTCTTCTTCGTCCTTTCATTGCCGCCTTCTTCTTCTTCGCTTCTGCTCCCCTTTCCTGTTCTCCACCTTTCATGTTCCGCTTCTTCAGCTTTCTCCTTTTCTTCTTTACTACTTCGTTTCAAATATGTAGGTGGGTTAAATCAAGAAATGACACCCTAGCACTCAAGACCTTCCCATACGTGCTCCGTCCTCATCTTCAGCAGCCAGCAAAGAGTACTTTGCTTCTTCTTAGTGTTCACCAGCTGTAAACTCACAGGAAAAGTTTTGGTAGTTCGCCAACTCCTGGACTTCGGCCTTGTACCAAAACTTGAGTTGTGCGTGCTTATCCGTTTACAGATCTGGCTTATTTTTGGTTTCTGACTTCTCAGGCAGACGAAGGAAATACCCCTAACTAATCGCCTTTACAACATGCTTGTTCCGAGAGGGAGGGGGAGGGGGAGGGGCAGGGTTGTCTATTCCTTTCTGACCCAGAACCCACACAGGGAAGTGACAAATTCAAATGCTGCAGTTTTCTCCGGGCTACAATATGGACAGAATTAATAGCGATATTTTGTTGTGTTGGGGCAAAAAAGAAAGGGAGTGACAGCCACAGTTGCTGCCCATCTGTAAGAAACCGTCACTACAAACCTAATGAAAAGCAAATTCTGTAATAAACACACATAGAAGGATGTGTACCACAGAGACAGTTAACACAGCAGAGGTAAACAGAACACATCTAAGCCACTCCACCCTAAAGTGTGGAATCAGCATTTTGTTTGCTCACAGCCCCAAGTTAATCCAAATAATTGCCAACAGTGTTGCTAATGACACAAGTTTCTCACACACTGATGATACTCTTACAGAACAGTGCAGGTTAATCTGGGTGACTTATTACCCAGCTGACACTTTGTTCTTGTGGAGCTCCACTAACACATGAGGCATACATTGTTTGGGGTATTATTGTTTCACAGCATTTGTCTTCTTCCTTCTTATAATCTGGGAAGAAGCATGGACAGATCAGATATCATCAATGTTGTAGGCACTAGGTTAGCGGAAAAGGAGCGAATCTCTGACACTAAGACAATTGCGTGACATGGGAGCAAAGCATGATAAAGCACGTCTATGCCGTATTTGAACCCGGGTTAGGAGACACTCCAACCAGCTTGACATAAGAACAATCAGTAAATATGCGTTGAAGAGGCTGCTGCGTTTAGGACTGTGCACACACGGGAATGCCAAATGTGCAGTGACCTTGATTGTGATAACACAGGGCCAAGACGTGCTATGATTTAGAGACGAGGTCATGTACAAGGAATCTGAGGGAGGAGTGATAAGCAGGGAAATCAAAACACAATTTGAATTTTTCATCTGACACCTGGAAGCTATTAGGGTGGCATTTCAAAGACTTGTATCTTACTGAGAAAATCTACAGCATGGGACTGTGATAACTTAACATCTTTTTTCATCTTCTCCCTCCTCCTCACCCCCCCCCCCCTTTCATCTTCCCCATCCTGCTTTCTCCTCCTCTTTCTTCTAGAAGGTGTCTAACTAAAGCAAAGGTTCTCAATCCACCCAGACCAAGCACCCGTCCATTATCTGGTCTACTGTCAGTTTTCTACAGGATGTGGTAGTCATTCTCACCCCAATTCTTGGTCGCCTTGCTTTCCTTATGGACCAGATAACAAATACCCGGTGCTAGACTTTGTCCCTACAGTATAACAAATCATCCTGACATCATAACATGTTTATTTACAATGTAGTTAGGTCTCTGCTTCTTTCTCTATGTAAGTATGAATGTGTACAACTTAGTGTGTATGTTGATGTGCATAAGTATGCATGTATGTGTCACTGTGTGTTTAGAAATGTGTATGTATGTCTGTGTGTCAGGGTCAGATATGAAAGAGCTTCTGTATAACAGTAGCTGGTACCACCTGTCTTCTGTTATGCCGAATGTTGGGCGGTGTATACAAGACCCGACATTCCATGCTGTGCGGAAAATCACACTGGGAAGAACACTAGTCTATCCTAGGAATAGGAAATGCATACTCAAAACTTCATGTTAGTGCAGGACAGACCAGGTCCTTAGCCTTAGCTGGCAGCTGGTCTAGGAGGGAAGCACCGACAGGCGGACAGATAGAGCTTCTGCAGCCTGCTTTGTTCCAAACGTACTGGTGTTACTTTTCTGTTGGAGTAAGGCAGGCTGAGAGAGATATCATGATGCATGGGCAACATATGGTCTCTACAATACAGCCCAGGCTTTGTGCTATGGAGAGGACGAACTTCACTAAACACAAATTTTGACAACAATGGTTCTGAAATCATATGCTATAATTGTAGAAGATTTTTCTTAACACAGGTGGGTACTGCTAGTCTAGCCATCGCCATGGCTGTGAATCCCATGCCGCCTCATACGGCAATATAACACTATTGTCTGGAAAGACCGAAAGGTGCCAATCAATCATCATGGCTGTGTGTAAGTATGAGCGTATGTATGCATGTGTGCATTTGACATCCATGCTATTGTATTTCTATCCTACACTCATACTATGTATCTTCCTAAAAAAACATAACATGCTTTGTAGATCAAAATACAACTGCTGTGTGAAAGGTGTCTGGAAGAATGAATGTAAGACGGGACTGCGTGCCCAATTTGTGCCTCCTGATGAAAAATAAAGTTTAAGTCATTCTCTCACATAGACACAGGCTGTATCTCCTCAAAGACAATTCAGCCCAGATAAATGCACAAGACCTGGATTTCTAAACAAGTATATGGCCAGCTTACAGAAACATTACAATTTTAAATAAGGCTGATAGAAGATATTTTTTAATGTGGGCAAAAATCATAACAGTACTATTCTTATTTTTGTTCATCCAAGGATGTAAATGACTTGTGCTTTTTACAACATGGCAGCTGTATCTGCACCTTTTAGCCTAAATATCTGACATTTTTAGGCATTTGTTGCTCATATTAGCTTTCCCGGGAGTGCTGTTCTATTAGCAATGACAACTGGCATCAAGTAGAAATGGCCACAACAAAAAATAATTTTGCGGGGCACCATTACTTCCTCGTTGCATTAACTCCTCCTCTTCCAAGCAATACTTGCTGTATGAGCAGCTCTTCTTCTTTTCCTGAGTTCAATGTTAAAAGGGTGGTCGATATATTCTATACTGGTTTACAGTTTTTGGTGCTGCACACAAGACTTCACCAAAACCATATTTAGTTTCTTTTACAACGTGTTCTTCACAGATCAATGATTTTATTCTTGTCCTGCCACACTCACCCACCCTAAAAATCCCCCTTGAGTTTTAACCCTCACATATTGTGTTCTCTTTCTCTTCTCTTTTGATGTGATCAAATCATTCTGAAGAAATCTTACACCCACACTGGATACTTTCACTGTGTAGTGACCACACGCACACCCACAGACACGACCCACACCCATACAAAACACATTACGCACAACACATGGGGGGGGGGGGGGGGGAGGAGAAGCAAGCAAGAAGCAGACATGAAACAAGTCGTAAAATAACAGCAAGTCACTGATGACAAAATCTGAAAGTCAAAAGACAGCAGGTGTTGGAGATCCAGTGCTGCCATGCTTACTGTGTATGGCATCTAACTGACTAAAACATTTATGGGATATCTATTTGCAATAAATGTAATCTTTTGGAGAAAACAATTTTGTCTTTTCCTTAATGGAAGTCACTGTAATGTATCCACTGCTAATTAGGGAAATATTACGAGGTCATGTCTCAATATCATCCACATACGACTCTCGTACAACTGCCTAAAAGCCACAAAAATGGTCTTCTTCTTAGCTGCCCACTGTGGAAATCAAACTCAGGTCAACATTGAGGACTGCATTGTGAAACAACTTCACTCACACCTAAGCCACAGAACAGCAGAGAACTTTGACACACACACACACAAAACATTTACTTTATTATGAGATTTGTATTACCAAACATCTAATGTTAAATACATGAACACCTACCTCGACAGACTAACCCCACACAGATGACATATAACAGAGGGCTCCACATTTTAGAAAATGTAATATTCCAAGCTGAAATTTTAAAAATTTTAATTTATTAATCAAATTTCATGAGTTATCCTACCATAACCCACCCAAATGGGATTATAGTTTATGTCATAAGTGTCAGGTATCATAATATAACAGCTATGCAGTTGTTTTCCATAATTTGCACCTGCTATATTCTCATATAAACAGTAGCTCTTTGGGTCACTGGGTGTTAATCTTTTAGAAAGCAATCCTGGGGGGAAAAGTGGGGGGGAGGGAGAAAGGAATTAACAAGAAGAAAGATTTACTAAAGTGAAGTATAATTCAAGTGACTTCTCCATTTCAATGAGAAATATAATTCAAATGACTTGTTCATTTCAATGAGAAGTATAATTCAAGTGACTTGTCCATGTCAATGAGCTGTCATACTCTTTGAAAGAAGGCACATATTTGCTGCATATTCCTGAGATCTGCCACTGCCAGTCCCAAACTTGGATAAGAAAGGAGGCCAGCTACCACACCCTGTAAAAAAAAGTGTGCTACAGAAACTCATATAACAGGTAGCCTTTCCATCCACAATAGGGAAGGGATTGCACAGGACAGAAAGGAATGGGAGACTTAGACTTTGTTCTGCATGTGGCATATAATCGTTAGACAGGCTTTTATGATGATGATGATATTCCTGAGCATTGATTATTTCTTTTCTGCTTCATATGTTCAATGTTTTCATTTCAGAAATAACTTGGTTGTGCCTGTTTACAGCAAGGCTGCAATATTTTCACCTTTCAGCTGACATTTGCGACTTCTTTAGGTATCCACCTGTTAACCTGGATGGTCTTTTCAAGAGTTATTAGTTGAAAATAAAGAAGTTATAACAGGTGAACATAACAAGAAACAAGTAAATATAATGTCATGGCTTTTTCTGAGGAGGAATCCACCATGGTGTAATGGCTAGACGCTCGCCTGTGGATCCGAAGGTTGTGGGTTCAGTTATCGGCTGAGCCTGACTCTTTTGCAAAAATGACCTTGCAACCCCCCCCCCCCCCCCCCCCCCCCCGGCATTTCAGTCTTAATTGGATACCAGGTAAAGTCCAGAGAAGTAAAGGTGGCCGGCATAATGCTGACCACATCGTCTATCGAGTGCCAACTGATCTACAAAATATAGGGCTAGCCATGTATGCCTGAAGGCATGGAAAGAGTTCCTTACCCTTCTTCCTGCTGGAGATAAATTAGTGTGACTGAGACTGGAGATAAATTAGTGTGACTGAGACTGGAGATAAATTAGTGTGACTGAGACTGGAGATAAATTAGTGTGACTGAGACTGGAGATAAATTAGTGTGACTGAGACTGGAGATAAATTAGTGTGACTGAGACTGGAGATAAATTAGTGTGACTGAGACTGGAGATAAATTAGTGTGACTGAGACTGGAGATAAATTAGTGTGACTGAGACTGGAGATAAATTAGTGTGACTGAGACTGGAGATAAATTAGTGTGACTGAGACTGGAGATAAATTAGTGTGACTGAGACTGGAGATAAATTAGTGTGACTGAGACTGGAGATAAATTAGTGTGACTGAGACTGGAGATAAATTAGTGTGACTGAGACTGGAGATAAATTAGTGTGACTGAGACTGGAGATAAATTAGTGTGACTGAGACTGGAGATAAATTAGTGTGACTGAGACTGGAGATAAATTAGTGTGACTGAGACTGGAGATAAATTAGTGTGACTGAGACTGGAGATAAATTAGTGTGACTGAGACTGGAGATAAATTAGTGTGACTGAGACTGGAGATAAATTAGTGTGACTGAGACTGGAGATAAATTAGTGTGACTGAGACTGGAGATAAATTAGTGTGACTGAGACTGGAGATAAATTAGTGTGACTGAGACTGGAGATAAATTAGTGTGACTGAGACTGGAGATAAATAGTGTGACTGAGACTGGAGATAAATTAGTGTGACTGAGACTGGAGATAAATTAGTGTGACTGAGACTGGAGATAAATTAGTGTGACTGAGACTGGAGATAAATTAGTGTGACTGAGACTGGAGATAAATTAGTGTGACTGAGACTGGAGATAAATTAGTGTAACTGAGACTGGAGATAAATTAGTGTGACTGAGACTGGAGATAAATTAGTGTGACTGAGACTGGAGATAAATTAGTGTGACTGAGACTGGAAAAAATATCAACAGGGATTTTTTAATGCACACAAACACACACAGTGCACACTCATTTTTGTGCATACACACACATATACATGTAATAAAAGCTGTCTATTCATACACACATGTATGTGAACAATGGCACCACATATTTTTGCCCTTTATCGATCCGTACATAACATATATCTATGGCTTCCTTTTGGTGGCAAGCAGTACTGGCAAATTTTAAGCATTATTGGGTACTCCTGTCAAATCCGGACGAAGAATAAAAAGCCTTGGACGACTTAGTCAGAGTTCTCTCCCTTGGCCGCACTGCAAACAGTGATCGGAAAAGCCAACGAAGCCCATTATTGTAATAGACATTTTGTGGCCAGTACCGGCACTTTATACACTGACGATGACCACCATTTTTTGTTTTCGCTAGAATAAAAGCTCTGCATATATCAACAATCACTTACATATATTCACATAAGCATGCTTAAACCTTTCCTTTCCTAACAGTCAGCAGTCACAATTCTTAGTTATTTATTTATCCGGTAAATTTTTTTTTTAAGACTCGATCAGTACTAGTATGTATTCAGTCTAGTATGTAAGTAAAAACACAGTTCTAGAAAACTGAATTCACTTGTCACTGAGACAGTTATTTTGGCATGTAATTTTTTTTTTTTACATATATATATATATATATATATATATATATATATATATATATATATATATATACATATATATATATATTTACAACAAGCAGGTGCAAAACTGGGACTGGTGATGTTTAAGATGTTAATATTATTTTGCTCCTTGTAGGTAGGGTAGGAAGGAGCACTGCCATTTGTTGAGGCTTGGGGAATGACTCAATTACTGTATGCCTTTCCTATCCTTATCTTTATCTGGAAAACAAATTACGAAAGGCTGAAGGAAACAGAGATGTTGGTGAAGGTCCACAATGAATTAAATTAATCGTATTTCTATTTCAACTATTTCACTGGTCTGAAAGTAGGAGTAAATTACATAATCAGCTAAAAACTATGAAAGACAGGAAAACAACCAGAAGTGAGCCACAAGAGTGGGACGGCAGTAGTACGCTGTAGTAGTCCAGTTGTTAGTGTTAGTACAGACAGCACAGAGTTTTTGCAGCAATAATATAAGAAGACCAACCAAGAAATAATTCAAATCAAATGATCTTATGATCGACCAAATTTATCAAATTACTTACGAAAAACTAGAAATGCATAACTTAAATATTGGCATTTATTACCTTCGCCTAGTCACTCCATTATAAATTGTGCGTCTTCCTGCTACTCCCAAAAAATCATGAAAACTTGTTCATTTAGCAGCCGATTCCTAATTCTATTATTATGATCACATAGAACTTGCTAGGATCCAGCAGCCATTTTAATTTTTTAATTTACACTTCCGGTCACGTGATCGTGATCTATGGAACGCTAGCTCAGTCATTCCCTGGGTATTCTCTCTGCTAAAGGCACTACCCAATCAATTAAGTACCGTCTACACACTGAAAATGATTTCACTAGATCTTCAACGCCTGGATATTCACACTCTCAGCTGTTTTTCTGTCTCTTATTGTTATCATTCGACTTGTGTCGCTGGCCGCCTCTTGCTTGCTTGTCCTTAACTTTCCCCTCCAATATGGTTTTTATAAGAGCATTTTATCCTATTAATTATTATATCGTCGAAATATTTCAGTTGTCGATTTTTTTTTTTTTTTTTTTGCCATCATCAACTTTCCTTTCATTCAGTCTCTTCTACTTTTTATCGTTCACTAATTGTAAATTAAGGTAAACATGTTTTTCCAGAAGTTTAGTTTTGCGTGCACATCCGTTTTACAGATCCGGCTTATTTATTTTCAGACTTGGTTTCTAGCCTCTCGGGCAGATGCACTCCAGCCAGGAAGGAAACATCCTAGTCGCTTCTTTTGAGAGGTTGCTTGTCAAGATCTTGACTGGGTTATTCTTCTTCTTTTGTCAAAATCTGCTTGTGCCGCTAGGCGTCGCAGTCTATCAGATGATCGGCAACCGAGCCAGGGCGCGCTCAGTCGCTTCATATGCCGTGATGTTATGAAGTCTCAAGTTGTCCGTGACTCCTTCAATCCATCTTCTTCTTGGTCTTCCCCTGCCTCTTGTTGTTTCGATTTTCATGTTGTATGCTCTTGATGCTGGCATCGTTGGTTCCATTCTCATTAGGTGACCAAACCATTTCATTCTTTGCTTCTCAATAAATTTAACGATGGGTATGGTTCCAATAGTTCTTGTGATCACATCGTTTCTCACTCGATCTCTTCTGGTTTTATTCGCAGCCATTCTCAAACATCTCATTTCACAGGTGGTTAGTCTTCTCTCGTGTTCTTTTGTTAATGTCCAAGTCTGACATTGATAACCTAATGTCGGTATAAAGATTGTATTTATAATTTGTCTTTTTATCTCAGCTGGGACAGCAGGGTGTTTTAAAATTGGGGCAAGCTGGTATGCGACATTATGTGACTGGGTTATTACTAAAAGTAAATTGGAAAGATGGTCGCAATTAGAAAATCTACTTATTCGTTACAAGGAGACTGACTCCGCAACATCTCCGAAGAATTTCAGTGATTTATTGGAAGAAGCTTGCAGTAACTTAGATATTGCTAGAGAACTACTGTTATCATCTGAGGACACTAATGTACAGACAACTGAAAAGCAATTAATGTTTATGACAGAACAGATTCAACTGATTAATATGAGCAAATATGCCAGACGCTACAGAAGTTGTACATTCTGTTTTTCCTATATGATTTTCAACAAATCTCCTGCATGCTACAGATTTATCAGAAAATCTATGTTATTGTGTCTCCCACATC